AAGAGAGAGAGAGAAAGAGAGAGAGAGAGAGAGAGGAGAGAGAGAGAGAAGAGAGAGACTTACTTGTCTTTTTTCCTTCCAAAAGGTTTAGTTTTTTCTCCCGGGACAAGAAACGCCTGGCCAACACACAGAGGACTGTGCACATCCATGAGTCCTTTGGCCAGTGGGCAAACACCCACCGAGATGACGGATACACAGAGCAAGGACAGGAAGCCCTGCAGCACCTGTGACCATCCCCTGCCCAGACCCAACAACCTGCTGCCTGCACTGGGTCACTGCCAAGAGCATCTTCAACACCAACCCCTCAAACGAACTGTCTGCTTTAAGGATAGACTATGAAAAACTGATGCCAAATTCTAAAAAAGTGTTTATTTATATGCAGGGCTATCCAGTTTATAATAGATGCCTCTGACTCCTTAGTATATATATTTAACAATCTCACAAACTGAAGCCAGACTGTCACTAACTTTAGTAACAAGCTTAAGCCCAACACACCACTTGCTGCTATGATGGCTGTTTGACTTTGTATAAAATGCTGGGTGAGGAGGTTTCTGAGTTTTCTTACATCTTCGTCATATTTAGTGAGAAGCAGGGGGAGATAGCTTTGTATTATGAAGTTACCATGGAGGTATCGGGTTGTACAGAATGTACGGATCAGACGGGCAGAGCCTCTGCTTATAGTATGAGCTGCCCCAACTTGGAAATAACACAACAGGAGTTGGAATGGCAACCATGGGATTGCCACCATTGTTCTTGGTGAGACTGGGGGTCCTAGTAGCCCTGTCTGAAGCAGCGTGCCTTTGAGTCTGATGTGAGTTCCACAGTATTAACCAAAGTTTAGGATGAGACTTTGACATGTTTCCTGTGTGCAGTTTTTTCTTACAATCTTTTTTTCTTTTAGCATTCCCTTTATGAAATACTGAGCCCTCTGCAAAGAAGAAAATGTCTTAAGGCAGATTGTCACTCAGGCTCAAGACCCTGGGTGATAGGAGATGGCAGGTCAGGAAGGCACAGCAGTGGGAGGGCAGTGGGTGCGCAGGGGACTTGAGATCATATGGCTACCTGACCCAGGGCTGCCATGGGCCCTGGAGGAACTGTGGACTGGTCCACACACTGTCCACCCATGGAGTATCTCCACAGAGCATCAGGGTGCAGGGCTGGGTGCTTACACATAGCGGTAGCACTTCCTAAGAGCATCCAATGGGTGGCGCCATGCCCTATGCAGTCTGCTAGTTTGCCAAGAAATGGGTGAAGCTGAGTGGCAGGGCATATGCCTTTATATACATTCTGCATCAAATGAGTGAAATCCAAAGTTCTAGCTGCTTTCTTACACTAAGGACATAGCAAAATTCTATACTGGAAGTTTCAAAGGAAAAACATTTTTTAAAAACTTTTATCACAGCTTATAGCAATGTTTTTTTGTATTGTTTTTGGATATAGGATCTTACTATGTGGTCCAATCTGGCCTCCAACTCTTAGCAGTTCTCCTGCCTCAGCCTCCCAAGTGTGGAGATAACAGGCTTGTGCCACCACACCCATCTCTGGTAGCAATTATCATTATTACTGTATGCGTGTATGGTACATGTGTTTTTGAGTGTGGGCACAGGGGTGCCACACTGCTCATGTGGCAGAGGACAACTTTCAGGTTTAAGTGTTCACCTTCTATCATGGGTTCTGGGGTTCTAACTCAGGTCTTTGCCTTGTGTGGCAAGCCCTCTTACTCACTGAGCCATCTTGCTAGCAGTTGATTGATTAATTGATTGAGACAAAGTTTCACTATGTAGACCAAGCTAGCCTCAAAATTAAGAAATCTGCCTGTTTTGGCCCCCAAATATTAGAATTAAAGGTGGGTACCACCAAGCCTAGCTCTCTAACAGCAATTTTTTTGGGGGGGGGCTTTTTGAGACAAGGTCTCCCTGTAGCCCCAGCTGTCCTAGAACTCACTATGTAGACCAGGCTGGCCTTGAATTCACGGAGATCTGCTTGCCTCTGCCTCCCAAGTGCTGGGACTACAGGCGTGCACCACCATGCCCAGCTCTAACAGCAATTTTTAAAAGCACAGTAGGGCTGGTGGTATGGGTAAGGGAACACTTTTATGTGTGACATATGAAACTTGAACTATTTTAGTGTGTGCAGGTGTCTTCCTCTATTGCTTTCCCCCTCCACCACCTCATTTTTTTTTTTTTTTTTTTTGGTCTTTTTGAGGCAGGGTCTCCCTGTAGCTCCAACTGGCCTGGAATTCACTGTGTAGACCAGGCTGGCCTCAAACTCGCACAGATCCACCTGCTTCTACCTCCCAAGTGCTGGGATTAAAGGCATGCACCAAAGTTCCCAACTTTTACATGGATTTTGGGGCTCTGAATTTGAGTCTTCATGCTTGTGCAGCAAGCATTTTATTGACTGAACTACCCCGGCTCCTTATTTTTAAAAGTAATTTATTTGTATTCTTGAGATAGTCTCATGTCGCCCAGACTAGCCTTAACCTTGGTATTTAGCCTTGTATTTTGTTTTGTTTCACTTTGTTTTTTTGAAACAGGGTCTTCCTGTAGCACCAGCTGGCCTGGAACTCATTATGTAGACCAGGCTGGCATCCATCTCAGAGATCTGCCTGCCTCTGCCTGAAATTAAAAATGTGTGCCACCACACCCTGCTGACCTTAAACTCTTGATCCTCCTTTCTCCACCTCCCAACTACTAGGATTGTAGGTGTGTGCCACCATGCCTGGCTGAGAGATTCTTTTTTGTTTGTTGAGTAGGGTCTAACTGTAGCTCAGGCCGGCCTCCAACTCACAGCTATCCTCCTGCCGCAGCCTCCCCAGTGCTGGAATTATAGGCATGAGCCACACTGTGCCTGGTTGAGAAATTCGTATTTTTATGCAGAAACCTCAGAGTGAGGGCTGGACTGTACCTCAGTGGTATTCACAGAGCATGCAAGAGGCCCTGGGTTCCATGTCCCCCAGCCAAAAAAAAGGCCTGAACTTTCAACATACAGCCATTGGTAGAATTTTTGAAAGGCCTGAAACTGGTGTGGCACTTACTCCAAGTTCACAGAAATCCAGCTTTCAGCAAACCAGGATCCTGACAATTCTGGAAAGCAAAGGGAAAAGCAGCAGTTTGGAGGAGGCCTTGCTGTGATCTTGCCCCTCCTATTCTTTTCATCTCTCTCAGCTTCTGTAGAGCTCTATCTTTTCAAAAGGCTGGAAGCCTGCCACAGATCTTGGCCTGCAGAGCTGCTTTTTCTTTTGAAATGCCAACCAGCAAAAGAAGACAGTCAACATTTTACACAGGAACAGTTACACTGACTTGACAGCTGCTGTCCACTGACCCTGATGTTCAGCCTGGTGTGCGATTAAGTCTGGGAAGGTCCTTGGGGTTTTATTTTGTTTCCAGCTTAGCAAACTCTGGGGCTGTGAATATGAAGATGTTAAAGAGTCACATAAGGGCTTATTTCTAATTCTTCTGGGTTTTTTTGAGGCAGGGTCTTGATCTGCAGGCCAAGCTAGCCTTAAACTTGAAATCCTCCTTCAGGCTCCCCAATGCTATGATGACAGGTAGGTCCCAACATGCCAGGCTACGTGAAGAGCTTTAAACCACTATCCAGTTTACCACACACTCAAAAAGAGGGGAGAAAACTGGGACTGGAGAGATGGCTCAGCAGTTAAGAACACTGGCTGTTCTTGGGAAGACCCAAGTTCGAATCCCTGCACCCACATGGCAGCTAACAACTGCCTGTAACTCCAGTACAAGGGGATCCAGCAGCTTCTTCTGTCCTCCTCCGGCACTACATGACACAGGTGCATTTACCTACATGCAGGCAATACATGCATACACATAAAATAAAAACATTTTAAGAAATGGGAGAAAATCAAAACAAATTGTTATTTTTTATTTTATGTGTATGTTTTTGCCTGCATGTTTTAAAAATATTTTTTATTTATATATTATTTTTATTTTATGTGTATGCGTGTATTGCCTGCATGTAGGTAAGTGCACCCATGTCGTGCAATGCCCACAGAGATCAGAAGAGGCTGTTGGATCCCCTGGGACTGGAGTTACGGACAGTTGTTAGCTGCCATGTGGGTTCTGGGATTCGAACCCGGTTCTTCTGTGAGAACATTCAGTGTTCTTAACTGCTGAGCCATCTCTCCAGCCCCAACCTCCATGTTTTTAAGTGCACCCATTATCATGCAATGCCCTGAGAGGTCAGAAGAGGCTGTCAAGTCCCCTGGAACTGTAGTTAGGGATGCTGGGCCTCAAACCCATGTCCTTTGCCAGTGTTCTTAACTGCTGAACCAACTCTCCAGCCTCTTGTTTTGTTTTTTGAGTCTCAGACTGACCCTGAATTCCCCATCCTCCTGCCTCCACCTCCCAGGTCCTAGGGTTACAGGCACTTGAAAACAAATTCTCGATTTCCATATAAAGAGACTGGTAACTTCTGAAAAAAATTATTCCTCCTAAAGCCAGGCATGGTGGCACATGCCCTTAATCCCAGCAGGCAGATCTCTGTGAGTTCAAGGCCAGCCTGGTATCCATAGCGAATTCAGGTGAGTTGGGGCTGCAGGGAGAACCTGTCAGAGAAAAAAAAAAAAATTTGTTCCTCCTAGTGAGTAACATTTCCTGGCTAGAGATGGGGACTTGTGGTAGAATGCCTGCCTAAAATGTTTGTGGTCTTGGGTTCAATCCCCAATATTGTAAAAAGAACTATCTCTCTTAGAACTATGTGAAGATTACAGACTCAGTGTCTGCTTGAACTCCAGTTCTGCACTGGGAAGGAAACTCCCGAGCCTCTTGGGTCATCGATCATTGGGTTTATTCAGCGAGTCATACCACATGAACAGTCCTCTTCTTCCTCAGACTTTTTGGGTCTACCACTGGGTCTCTACTTGGTTCTGTCCCTCTTATCCCTCCCCTTGACCCTGTCCTCCCTGAAATCCCTGTCTCTTTCCCAGTCATTCTCTGGCCACACCCTCGCCGGCTCTCTCTCTTGCCAGAGCCTCCTCTTCTCTCGGCCCCTGTCATGGTCTCGCTCCCTGGGCCTGGGATCCCAGTGCCGGTCTCGGGATTGGGATCGCTCTCTCCGATCCCTTTTCCCCTCTCTATACAGCTCGTTTTTAACAACTGGCAAGTTGATGGGTTTTCGAAAAGGCCTATCCCGACCCCCAAACCTCAGTTGTCCAGATTCCTTTTTCCCGCCCAGACCGCCCCCCAGCCGCCGAGGGATCCAGCCTCGCAGGGTCCTCTCCAGCTCGTAGTCCACGAAGATCTCGTGCTGGTCAATGACCAGGCCGTCGGCGTCGCGGTAGGCCTTCAGCAGGGCCCGCTCCTCCTTGTACTCTACGAAGCAGTAGCCCTTGGAGACGCCAGTCACCAAGTCCCGTACCAGTCGCAGCCGCCGGATGTCGCCGTAGCGGGAGAAGACTTCCTTTAATTTCTCCTCTTTGGTTTGCAAGTTCAGCCTGGCCACAAACAGGGTGAGGAGGGGGTCCCCAGTGACGCCTTTGTTGGGAACATAGCGGGCCAGCATGGCTCTCCACACAGCGCGGTCATGCGGTTCTTCGTCCGTGCCATCGATGCTCCCAGCCTTGAGCGGGTCATACTCCCTGGCAATGGGCATCCAGTCACTCATGTTCTGGAACAAAAACTGCAAGCAGGTGTGTAGCACGGTTATACCAAATTCTCCAGCATCACCACAGCTCTTCAAAGCAGCATCATTCACCCCCTTTTGGGGAGGATGAGTCTCACTCTACAGGGTGTCTTCTGTAGCCCCAGACTAGCCTCAAACTCCAGCTCCTCCTGCATTAGCCTCCTGGGTACTGGTATCACAGACATGTACCACCAACCTCACTGCCCATCTTGAAAGCAAGGAGCGTAGTGGGTACCCCAGGGTTCAGGACTCTGGGTTAGAAAGAGGAGCAGGTAGTATTGAAGTCAGGCAGTTAGATCATGGAAGTGCTCTGGCCTGCCCCTGCAGCCCTGTCAGGAAGCAGAGGCTTAATGCTTATGTTGGCCATCTGGAGCAGCCACACTTGGTGGAGACCAACTCAATTAAGACATGGCACATGAATCAAAAGCCAGTATGCCTGGCTGGGAGTCGACCAATGACAGGTTATTTGTCCAGCATGTATGACTAAAATGGTCACAGGTCTGAGTTTGATGGTTCATACCTGTTACCCAGTACTCAGAAGGCCAACACACAGAAAGATCAATAGTTTGAGGCCAGCCTGGAACGTTCCAGGCCAATCTGGTGTACACAGTGAGACCCTGACTCAAAAAAAAAAAAAACAAACCAAACCAGGGCCACCAAGATGGTCAGCAGGAAAAATGCACTTGCCACTAAACCTGATGACCCTAAATTGGATCACCAGAACCCATATGATAGAGAAAACCAACTCAGAGTTGTCCTGTAACTCCACATGTGTGCTGTGGCATGCATGCAAACACACATACACATCTTACACACACACATACATTAAAATAAATTAAAAAATTAAAAAACCCAAACCAGCTGTACACAGTGGCATGTCTGTAATCCTAGCACTCTGGGGGCCTGATACAAGAGGATGGCTACAAATTTGAGGCCAGCATGGGCTGGATGGTGAGACCATCTTAAACAAACAAAGGGGTCAAGGTCAGCTAGGGCTACACAGTATGACCCTGTCCCCCCAAAATAATTTAATTGAGTAATAGAAATAAAAATAAAAAAATAGCCATAGGGGCTGGAGCAATGGCTCCACAGTTAGGAGCCCTCATCATTCAGTCACCAAAATGCTGGAATCATGAGGGGTACTTCCATCACAGACCTCTAAAGCACCTGTCACTGCCCTGCTAAAACCTTTGTTTATAGACCTGGGCTCTGAGAAACATTTAGAGTAATCACTTTTCCTAACACCCTTTCCCTGATACTAAAATGGTATCTAGTTGGGCGTGGTGACACAAGCCTTTAATCCCAGTACTTGGGAAGCAGAGGCAGGCAATCTATGTGAGTTCAAGGCAGCTGGGGTACAGGGAGATGCTGTCTCAAAACAAACAAAAAAACAAAACAACAACAAAAATGGTATCTATAGCCAGGCACATGATTCACACACCGGTAGTCTGAGTACTCACAAAGCTGAGGCTTCAGGGCTTCCACAAGTTCGAGGACAGTCTAGGCTACCCTGCCTCAAAAATCAAAAAGCTGAGTAGTGGCATACACCTGTTTAAGATCATCCTTGGCTACACGATGAGGCCAGCCTGGGATACATAACACTCTGTCTCAGAAAAACCAAAGTGGGACCAGCAAGATGGTTCAGCAGGTAAAGGCACTTGCCACCAAGCCTGATTACCTGAACTTGATCCCGGGGAACCACACAGTGGGAGAGATCTGACCACACACATGTTGTGGCATGTGTGCAGGTAAATACCTTATACAGACACATACAATAAATAAATGTTAAAAAAAAAAAAAAAGCACGCCAGGTATGGTGGTTCACAACTTTAATCCCAGCACTTGGAAGGCAGAAGTAGAGGCAGGTGGATCTCTGTGAGTTTGAGGCCAGCCTGGTCTCCATATCAAGTTCCAGGCCAGCCAGGGCTACAGGGAGACCCTGTCTCAAAAAGATAAAAAACAAAAACAACCACTATCAGCCAGATGTGGTGGAACATTCCTTTAATCCCAGCAATTGGGAGGTAGAGACAGGATAATCTCTGAAATCGAGGTCAGCCTGGTCTACATAGCAAGTTCCAAGCCAGCTGGGGCTACAGGGAGATCCTGACTCAAACCAACAAACAAAAAAACCCACAAAACCAAACAATATAATCTGTTACCCAAATTTTTTCTTATAAATATTTTTGCTTTTGTTCTTCAGTTTGGGGTGAACACTACTTATGATGTACATTGTGGATCCCCCCCCCCAGTTAAAAAAGCCAAACACCCACAAAATAAATCAAAAGTCAATATGGGGGCTGGAGAGAGGGCTCAGTTGTTAAGAGCACTGGCTGTTCTTGCAGATGACCTGGTTTTGGTTCCCAGCACCCACATGGAGCTACTAACCAGCTATAACTCCAGTTCCAGGGGATCTGATACCGTATTCTGACCTCCATGTGCACCTGGTACACATACAAACATGCAGGCAAACACTTGAGACACATAAAACAAACTTAAAAAAATAAAATAGGGCCAAGTGTGGTGGCGCACGCCTTTAATCCCAGCACTCAGGAGGCAGAGGCAGGCGGATCTCTGTGAGTTCAAGACCAGCCTGGTCTACATAGTGAGTTCCAGGACAGCTGGGGCTACAGGGAGACCCTGTCTCAAAAAGACCAAAAAAATAAAATATAAACTTGAAAAAAATACCAACAGCACTGCACTCTAGACCTCTGTATTTTGCTCACCCTCTGACTGCACCCAATCACAAAATTTGTTTTATGACAGTGTCTCATTATGTAGCTCAGGTAGCCTAAAACTTGCAATCCTAAGTGCTGGTATTACTGGCAAGTGCCAACATGCTCAGCTCAGAATCTTTTTTTTTTCTTAAAGATTATCTTTATGTATGTGTGTATATACACCTGTGTTCACAGAGTCTAAAAGAGGCCATCAGATCCCCTGGAGCTGGAGTTACAGGTGGTTGTGAACTGCTTGACTTGGTGCTAGGAATGGAACTCAATCCTCTCTGCAAGAGCAGCAAGTACTCTTAACCATTGAGCCATCTCTCCAGTCCCCAGAATCTATTTTTAAACTAGTACTGCTCCTCCTTCGTAGAATGAGCTGTATTCCCTCATCTTTCTGTTGAGATTTTTTTTTCTACTTGTAATGTTCTCTTTCCTCCTCATTTCTGCTTCCCACATCTCCACTTTAGGAAATTCAACTGGTCCTTCCAGGTTCCGTCTCCAGTGCCTCCCCTAGAGAGCAGCTCTGCCTCCCAAAGCCTACTGTAGCTCTTTTCTACTAATCCTCTCACAAAAGTGTCTCCTGGCTCCTAGGATACTTCCTGAGAGATGCCAGGGAACTGAAGTAATTCCTGTCAAAATTTGGAGTTGTTTGTCCAAATTAGCTACAAGAGACTACTCTGCATACTCAAGGTGCTAGGCTCCATCCCCACTACTGAAAAATAAAAAGGATTGTTTCACAGTGAACCAAAAGACAAAGTCTGCCCTCAGCAGACACCTTCCACCAAGGCAGAGGAGGAGGATAGTTAATATACATGGCCGTCAACATTCACAGGCAGCTTAGAAGCTGCCTTCCCAGAGTCCTTATCAGTAAAGAGCAATTCACAGCCAGACAACAGAAGAACCAGGAAAGGAGTAAGAACCAGGAAAGGAGTGAGACACTGCTCTAACCATTTGGTGTCTTTTCTTCTTGATGCTTGGAATTCCTCCATGTGAAAAGAGAAGAGAGCATTATTCTCATCTCTCCCTGCTCTGGAATTCTCTAGTCTAGGCTCCTCCGTACTGAGCTCTGTACTGAGTGGCATTTTCCAGCTCACTCCACCACAGGGTAGCCATCAAAACAGGGACTGTGGTAATTACAGCCAGCTTGTACCCAGCACTTAGGTGGTGCCAAGCATTGTATGAAGCTCTTAACTCCTCTCATCTGCCAGCAATACAGAGCTAGATTGCTGTCACTTAAGATGAGGTTGGTCAGGAAAAGTCTTTGATGTTAAAGCTAGGAAGCAGAGCAATCAAATCAAGGTGCTTGAATGCAGACTGAGCTCATTTTTTCAAATGGCTTTCATAAAATATAAGGCTTTGCGGGGGGGGGGGGGACGACACCAAATCCCAGCCAGCCTGGTCTACATAGAGAGCTCCTGGCTAGCTAGGACTACATAGTGAAACCCAAAGCTCAAACTCAGGTCATGAGGCTTGCATGGCAAGTGCTTTTACCAGCTGAGCCATCTCAAGGGCTTTCGGATTTTTTTTGTAATTTATTTATTCATTTTTATTTTCTGTGTATGTGTGTATTGCCTGCTTGTAGGTAAGTGCACCAGTGTCGTGCAATGCCCACAGAGGTCAGAAGAGGCTGTCAAATCCCCTGGGACTGGAGTTACAGACAGTTGTTAGCTGCCATGTGTCTGGCGGGAACCAAACCTGGGTCCTCTGCAAGAGCACCCAATGCTCTTAACCACTGAGCTATCTTTCCAGCCCTTAGTTACATTTCATAGATAAGAATCCAAAAGCCCTGGAACTGTCTGTAACTCCAGTTCCAAGGGATCTGATGCCCTCTGACGGCCACAGGCACTGCAGGACACTGGTGCACTTACACACATGCAGGAAATACACTCATACACATAGAAATAATAATAATAATTTAAGAAAATAAATCAAAAAAAAACTTTTTAAGTGGGTAACTGAATGGCATTTTGCTAGTTCCTTCCATCTGTCTTTCTAGTCTGGGTTGGCTTCAAACTTGGATGACCCTGAACTTCTGATCCTCTTGCTTCCACTTCCTCAAAGTTGGAATTGTAGGCATGTGCCACCCACCAGGTTCACTCGGTGCTGGAGATCGAACCCAGGGCTTCCTGCATGCCAGGCAAGTACTCTATAATACAAAGTTTTGGGTTTTTTTTTTTTTTTCTTTTGAGGTAAAGTCTAATGTAGCCCAGGCTGGCCTAGAACGACTATAATCCCAGGACTAGGGAGGATGATCAAGAGTTCAAGGTTATCATTGGCTACATGAGACCCCCGTCTCAACAAAATGAAACAAAAGCATGTCCTTAAAAGTTTCTGGAATTTGAAAGCTTGGCAGGCACTTCCTAGGGAGGTGGGGTGCAGAACTAAAGTCGAAACGCTCCCGACACGGCGGAAACACGCCAGGCATGCGCAGTGGCTCCGAGGACTCAAACACAGAAGTGCCCGTGGGAAGTCCGTTCTGCTATCTCCCCGGCCCTAGAGGCTGGTTCCTAGGACCTCTTATCTTCTGGGTGGGCGCAAGGAATAGAGGCCCTTCTTCCCTCGCAGCACTCAGCCCAGCTCCCACAACCGAGCCTCCGCCTCTGCCAGGCTACAACATGGCGCCGCCGCGGCTTCCTGCCAGGCGTCTGGGCCCATGGCTTCCGCCTCCTCCCTGCGTGGGACCTGCTCCCGGGAGTCCCTTCCACTCACCTGTGCAAGGCCTAGCTCCCTTCCGCCCCGAGACGAGATCCGTAACCCAAGGCTGGATGACGAGCGACTGAAAAATTCCTTACGCCCACCTCCACGGAACTCTTCATTGAGAGCAGCAGATTCGCCACAGAGCTTGAGTTGCTTTTTTAAAAAACCGATTTTATATATTGTTATGTATTTATATGTAATAAACTTATATATAAAGAGAAAGGATTCGAGAGTAAATTTTTTTTTTACTTTGGTCTTTTTGAGAGAGGGTATCCCTGTAGCCCCAGCTATCCTGGAACTCACTATGTAGATCAGGCTGGCCTTGAACTCACAGAGATTCGCCTGCCTCTGCCTCCCAAGTGCTGGCACTACAGGCGTGCGCCGCCACACCCGGCTGAGAGTAAATTTTTTAAGACTAAGGAGATTTTTTTGTGTGATTTTTTTTTTTTTAACATGAAGACAAAAATTCCTTAAGTTGAACGTTTGCGCTAATAGACTACCGAATGGGCAGTTTTCTGTGAGTATAGTTAAGCCTCTGAGAATCTGATTTATTGACTTCTCTCCTAGAAAATACCGGTGACGTTCGTGGAAGTTTTGTCCATTTCCCACAGAATATCACTAATCCAAAAGTTTAATAGCTTCACTTTTAGTACCGGGCATGGTGCGCCTGTGACCCCAGCATTTGTGAGGCCGAAGCGGGAGAATTCTCGTGAGTTCCTAGCTACCCTGGACCACATAGTTGAGACCCCGTCTCAAAAACAAACAAACCAAAAGAACCCACAACTAAACAAAAGTTACCAGCTTCCCTCCTTCCCTTTCTGGGAATCATCCTGACTCAGTCTCCTGATCATGGCGGCTCGCCTATAATTCCAGCACCACAAGGTGGAGATCCCAGAGCAGCCTGGCTGGACAGACTAGCCATGTAGTGAGCCATGGGTTTGACAGAGAGACTTTCCTCAAAGAATAAGATGGGACCTGAAGAGATGGCTCAGTGGTTAAGAGCACTTGCTCTGTGTGATGAAGACTGGAATTCAGATGACAGTACTCACCTCAGGCCACTCAAAAATCACCTGTAACTCCAGCTCCAAGGGATCCAACATGTTGTTCTGACCTCCTCCTCAGGAAGTGATGCGTACACAGACCCTTAAATAAAAATATAATGAAGGGCTGGAAAGATGGCTCGGCGGTTAAGAGCACTGGCTGCTCTTACAGAGGACCGAGGTTCAGTTCCCGTGGTGGCTAAGAATCATCTCTAACTCCAGTTCCAGGGGAATCTGACACGCTCTTCAGACCTCTGCAAGCATTGCAGCAGACAATACATTTATATACTAAAATAAAAATTTTTTTTTTTTTTTTGTCTTTTTGAAGCAGGGTCTCCCTGTAGCCCCAGCTGTCCTGGAACTCACTATGTAGACCAGACTGGCCTTGAACTCACAGAGATCTGCCCGCCTCTGCCTCCCAAGTGCTTGGCGTTCGGCACGCCCGGCTAATAAAAACATTTTTTAAAGAAGGTGGAAGAGTCAAGGAAGATTGCTAATATCAGCCTCAGACCTCCACATGCATGCACACCCAAAAGGAGATACACATCTACACATGCCTGTATTCTTTTTTTTTTTTTTTTTTTGGTCTTTTTGAGACAGGGTCTCCCTGTAGCCCCAGCTGTCCTGGAACTCATTATGTAGACTAGGCTGGCCTTGAACTCACAGAGATCCGCTGCCTCTGCCTCCTAAGTGCTGGGATTAAAGGTGTATACCACCATGCCAGCTATTTATTATTATTATTATTATTATTATTATTATTATTTTATATGTATTCATATATTGCATGTAAATAAGTGCACCCGTGTTGTGCAATGCCCACGGAGGACAGAAGAGGCTATAAAATCCCCTGGAACTGGAGTTACAGACAGTTGTTAGCTGCCATGTGGGTGCTGGGATTCGAACCCGGGTCTCCTGCAAGAACAACCAGTGTTCTTAACCACTGCTGTTCTTAACTTCAGCTCCCTGTTCAGTGTTTTGAGACAAGTTCTTGCTATGTAGTACATCCCTGGTTGGCCTGGATCTTGATATGTAGACCAGGCTGGCCTCAAACTCCACAGAGATCCACCTGCCTCTGTTGGGATTAAAGCTGTGTGCCACCATACCCACAAAGGGTTGACTATAGACTCTCAACAAAAACTTCACATGATCCACCAGACCCTAAGCCAAGCCCATTTCTCTTAACAGCTCCTTAAGGAAAGAGATGTGGCATTCCAATGTGGAGCCACATTTTGGAGGAGGTGGTGGGAGGGGAGCTCCCTTCTGCACAATCTCATTTGAGGCTTCTCCCAACCCTCCTGAATAAACAGATCACAGAAATTTAAGAAAAAACAAAAAAACAAGCCTGCCCACTTGTGCAAATAGACTCAAAAGGAGAGCTCTAGACACCACCCTTCCTGCACTCAGCACCCAGCCTCTTCTAGGAGTTAAACCACAGATGAAATCCTTAGCCCAGGATTGCAAGCTTTTAAGACAGTCTCGGGAATCTCCAGAACCTTTGCTGTTTTCATGCATGACTGAAGGATAACAAGACCGGAACATACTGTCTGGGACCTGGAAGAACTATCCTGCATGAGCCATTGAGGAAGGAGGTGGTGTCAACAGGCAGAGAACCTGAACTCTCCACCTGCTGTCCCACTCAGGCCCGCTTGGCACCTGCTAGTGAAACATTGCTATTTGTGAATATTCCACTTCTGTTAAGTGTGAAACCACCCACTTATTTTCCTGTTTCTTGTTTTTCTTGCCTGTCTAACTCTCAGGGGAATAGTGATTTTGGAATTTTTTAAAAAAATAAGTCTCTTTAAAAAAACAAACAAACAACTATTTTGTTTATTATTTTTATGCATGTATTGCCTGCATGTAGGTAAGTGTACCTGTGTCGTGCAATGTTCTCTGAGGCTGTCAGATCCCCTGGAACTGAAGTTACAGAGAGTTGTTAGCTGCCATGTGGGTGCTGGGATTCAAACTCAGATCTTCTGCAAGAACAGCTGGGTTCTTAATGGCTGAGCCATCTCTCCAGCCCCTTGGATTTTTTTTTTTGTGTGTGTCTTTTTTAGACAGGATCTCCCTGTAGCCTCAGCTATCCTGGATTCACCATGGAGACCAGGCTGGCCTGGAACTCACAGAGATCCACCTGCCTCTGCCTCCCGAGTGCTGGGATTAAAGGCATGCGCCACCACACCCAGCTGGAATTATTTTTAAGCAAAGTTAGTGTGTTTATTAAGTAATGATAAGGGACAGTACACACACTTCAGATTTAAGTGTGTGTGTGTGTGTGTAAGGAGAGAGAGAGAGAGAGAGAGAGAGAGAGAGGGGAGAGAGAGAGAGAGAGAAAGGAGAGAGACAGGCTAGGAAAGGACAGGTACACTCGTACACTCAAGACATGGGTATGGACTTCTCAAGAAAGAGAGTTACCTTGAAGTTATTTTTAAAATTTTTATAGAACCAGGCCTGGTGGCGCACACCTTTAATCCCAGCACTCGGGAGGCAGAAGCAGGCAGATCTTTGTGAGTTCAAGGCCAGCCTGGTCTACATAGTGAGTTCCAGGACAGCTGGGGCTACAGGGAGACCCTGTCTCAAAAAGACCCAAATTAAATAAAATAAAATTTTTATAGTGATGTATCATTGGGACTTTAAAAGTTACATGTGTGTGAGTGTATGTACATGCAGGTGCATCATGGTATGCATGCAGAGGTCCCAGGAATTGAACTCAGGACTTCAGGCTTGGAAACGAGTACCTTTACCCACTGAGGCATTGTGCAGACCCTCATTGGGCCTTTTTTTTTTTTTTAAAGACAGGGTCTCACTATGTAACCCTGGCCAGCCTGAAACTTGATATGTAAAACAGACTGGTCTGGGACTCACAGAGGTCAGCCTGCCTCTGCCTTCCAAGTGCTGGGACTAAAGGCATGTACTACCACATCCAATCTGGATTTGTTTTTTATTTTCACTTGTGTAAAAATTTTATTTTGTGGGACTGGAGAGATGGATCAGCAGTCAAGAGCACTTGCTGCTCTTGCAGAAGACCTGAGTTCAGTTCCCAACACCCAGGTTGGGTGGCTCTGAGCCATCTCTCTAGCCTCAAGTACATTCCATTCCCATTTTACAGTTGAGAAAATTGAGCCCGAGTCAGAAATAATTTGCTTGCCTGACTTCACACAGCCTACAAGTGGCAGAGCCAAGGTTTGAGCACTTCTGGTCTGCTCTAGACCCCACTGTCTAGAACATCAGCAGCAGCATAATTTGTAAATATTGCTGTGCATAGTGCCTCACATTGGTAATCTCAGCAGCACTCAAGACTATGAGGCAGGAGGACTGCCATGATGAGTTCAAGTCCAGCTGATCTAAAAGTGACTACCTGGCTGGCCAGGGCTACAGAGTGAGACTCTGTCTAAAACCAAACAAACCAAGCAAAAGTTTGTACCCTTATTACCCTAGAGTGCTTGTTGTTAAACACAGTGCTGTGGCTTACTCCAAGTTTCTGAGTGGGTATGGGGGGGAAGAATTTACTTTTCTCTCTCTCTCTCTCTCTGTTGTTGTGTTTGGTGCTAGGGAGGGGACCCAGGGCCCTTCACATTTCCACTGTGCTACGCTATGGTGCTATGCCACCTGTTACATCTCCCCCACATGTACACAATTTGCTTTTCTTAAAAGTTCCTGGGGGCTGGGGAGAAGGCTCAGTGGGTAAAAGCACTTGCTACACAAGTATAAAGACTTGATTTCAAATCCCCAGAACCCAGAGAAGACCTTCAGTGTTGCCCTGGCAGAGCGCAGACTGGCCCTCGGGTTGTAGATATGTGTAACACACCAACTTACTATGACCTAGGAAAGGCTGCTAAGGATGTCTTTAACAAAGGATACGGGTTTGGCATGGTCAAAATAGATCTGAGAACTAAGTCTTCTAGTAGAGTGGAATTTTCTATTTCAGGTCATGCTTATACTGATACAGGGAAAGCATCAGGCAACCTAGAGACCAAATATGGAATACAGACAATAGTCTTGGAACAGAAATCTCTTGGGAGAATAAGTTGGCTGAACCATTGAAACTGACTCGATATCAAGTTTGTACCAAACACAGGAAAGAAGAGTGGGAAATTAAAGGCCTCCTATAAACAGGATTGTTTCAGTCTTGGCAGTAATGTTGATAGAGGTTTTTCTGGACTAACCATCTATGGCTGGGCTGTGTTGGCCTTTGAAGGTTTGGCTTGCTGGCTATCAGATGAGTTTTGACATAGCCAAATCCAAACTGTCTCAGAAAAATTGCTCTTGGTTATAAGGCTGCAGACATCCAACTGCATACTCATGTGAATGATGGTACTGAATTTGGAGGCTCTATCTACCAGAAAGTTAGTGAGATTGAAAGATCAATAAACCTTACATGGACAGCTGGCAGCAACAACACTCGCTTGGCATTGCTGCCAAATGCAAGCTGGATTGCAGAACTTCTCTATCTGCCAAAAATATATAATGCCAGTTTAATTGGACTGGGATATACTCAGACTCTCCAACTAGGAGTCACATTGACCCTGTCAGCTTTGATACATGGAAAGAACTTCAATGGAGGAGGTCACAAGGTTGGGTTGGGTTTTGAACTGGAAGCTTAATGTGGTTTTGAGTAGAGCATCATTTATTCCTGGAAGTGAAGAAAAATGAACCCACTAGTTTTGGCCTTAAAATTCTGTGAAATTTCAAAAGTGTGAACTTTTTATTCTTCCAAAGACTTGTAATCCTCCCCACTCTGAAGTCTAGAGATTCCAAGTTCATCTTAAGGGAGGTCCTCAAAGGCATGCCAGGAAATTGTCATGTTTGTGCCACATTTCAGTTGAGTTCTGCAGTGTTAATTTAAATATGATCCTCAGCAGCAATGTAGTGTCATGTTAAAGGAGATGATTTGATGCCCTAGCTTGTACATCACGTCCTGCGTGTCCCACTCTACTTTTTCATGACCTTTTGTTATACTGGTCTCTGTGCTGTAGTGGAATCTTTGGTTTTGCATCAGAATAAAATAAAATAAATCTATCACATTTGGAACATTTTTTAAAAATCCCCAGAACCCACATAAAAGCCTGATTTGGTGGTATGCTGTGATCCCAGAAGCCCTGTGGGGAGATGGGAGGCAGAGACAGGCACCCTAGAAGTTCAGGGACCAACCACCCTTGCCTATGTCATGAAAAAGTCATGACAGAGACCCTTTCTAAACAAAGGGGAAGGTAAGGACTGACACCTGAGGCTGACCCCTGACTTCCACACACATGCATACTGTTGCATGTGCATGCCCACACATACAACAATGAATGAATTAAAAGTTCCCAGGTGTTCCTGTTGACTCCAGACTTATACTTTAAGAACCTCTGCTACAGCCCAACAGAAAGGAAACTTACCAAAAGACTGTCAGATTCCATGAAGGGTCTAGAGATTAACTTTCAAATACTGTACTAGGCAAGTACTTGGCGATCAAGCTCATGAACCAATAAGTAGCATTTAGTCATGAAGTTCAAGGAAAATTCTGCTTAAGTCCACAGCCCTGACGATGCTGGACCTTCGATCTCAACAAGTTAACCACTCATGAATGAAGAAAGGAATCTTTGGGTTTTATTGCTATTACTATTGCCTGCATGTATGTTAGTGCACCCGTGTCGTGCAATTTCCATGGAGATCAGAAAAAGGTGTCAGATCCTCTAGAACTGGAGTTAATGGACAGTTGTCAACTGCCATGGAATTCAAACCCAGATCTTCTGCAAAAGCAGCTAGTGCTCTTAACCACTGAGCCATTTCTCCAACCCCCAGAATCTTTGGTTTTTATAACAAGCTGGACTTGAACTTACAGAGATCCACCAACCTCTGCCTCCTGAGTGCTGAGATTAAAGATGTGCAGTCACTCTGGATCTAAAAATATTTTTTATTATTTTACTTCTTATTTTTCTTTGTATGAGTGTTTGCCTGAATGCATGCCTGTACATCATATGTGTCCAGTGCCCACAGAGGCCAGATTCTCTGGAACTAGAGTTATGGACAATTGTTAGCTGCAATGTGGGTGCTGGGAACCAAACAGGGGGTCTGCAAGACAAGCCAGTTGCTTTTAACCACTGAGCATTCTCTCCAGCCCTCACTTAATAGGCTTTATTGTGTAATAAAAGGGTATAAAGTAAGGAAGAGGCCTGGTGTGGTAGCACATGTCTTTAGTCTCAGCACTTGGGAGGCAGAGGCATCTCTGAGTTTGAAGTTAGTTTGGTCTACATAGTGAATGCCAAGCCAGCTGGGGTTACAGGGAGAACCTGTCCCCCAAAAATAAAGTAAGTAAGGAGGAAGGAAGCCATGGAGTGTCACAGGGTTAATGGGATATTTTCAGAGCAGAAGTAATTTCACCAAGGTCAATAATGCAGATGAGAGCCAGGCATGGTGGTACACAGCTTCAATCCCAGCACTCAGGAGGCAGAGGCAGGCAAATCTCTATGAGTTTGAGGCCAGCCTAGTCTCCATAGCGAACCCAGGCCAGCTGCAAAAAATAAATAAATAAAATAAATAATAAGTAATGCAGATGAGATACAGGCCAGCATGGCGGCTGGGCATGTTGAAGGTAATAAAGAAATGCAAGGGACTAAGAGATGGCAAAGTACTTGCTATGCAAGCATGAGGATCTGAGTTCCAGGACCTGCATAAAAAAGTCAGAAGCATTGTGTGCATCTGTAATCCCCACACTCCTACAGTGAGATAAGAGGGGACAAGAGAATCTCCTGGAAATTCTTGAGGGCAGTTAGCCTGGAAACCCAGCACTTGCAGAGACCCTGCCTCAACATGGTGGAAGGTGAGAACCAGCTCCAGAAGCTGTCCTCTGATTTCCACATGCACAGCGACCTGTGCACACCTGCATGCACGCAACCCTCCCCACAATAATACTACTACTAATTTTGGGGCGGGGGTCTTTTTAAAACAGGTTTCCCTGTAGTTCCATCTGACCTGGAACTCTCTATATAGACCAGGCTGGCCTTGAACTCACACAGATTCGCCTGCCTCTTAAAGATGTGTATCACCGTGCTCAGCTAATACTACTAAATTTAAAAAAACAATAAATGTTTATTTTAAAAAATAAGGTGGAGCCAGGCATGGCAGTGCATGTCTTTAATCCCAGCACTCAGGAGGCAGAGGCAGGCGGATCTCTGTGAGGTTAAGGGCAGCCTGGTCTACATAGTGAGTTCCAGGACAGCTGGGGCTACAGGGAGACCCTGTCTCAAAAAAAAAAAAAAAGGTGGAAAGTGACTGAAGAAGGCACTCTATGTTGCCCTCCAAACACACACACACACACATACACACACACGAAAACATATGCAAAAGAATCTCATCAATACTTTCTTTCACTGCTATGAGGTCAATTCCCATTACCAGTACTGCAACCTCATCATCTATAATTCAAAGAATTAACTTGGAAAGTGTACAGCTTCGTGGTTTTTAGAGGATTTACAGAGTTGTGCAACTGTCACTACAGCCTAATTTCCAAACATCCATCTCACCGATAAAGAACAATGTTTGCATGAGCAGCCTTACCATTTCACTAAGCCCTAGAACAGGCTAGACAGGAGCTGATCTGTCTTCTCTCTCCTGGGCTTTCTCTACTCTGGATGCTTCCTACAAAGGGAATCATACAGTGTGTGACATTTTGTGTCCAGCTTCTTTCACTTAGAATCATATTTTCAAGGTCCATTCACATTGCACTGGGAGTCAGTGCCTGTTCTCTCCCTTCAGGTAATTGTGTTGAAATACAATTGAGGGGGCCTGGAGAGATGGCTCAGAGGTTAAGATCACTGGCTGCTCTTGCAGAGGACCCTGGTTGGATTCCCAACACCCACATGGCAGCTAACAACCATCTGTAACTCCCAGGGTATCTGACCTCCACAGCATTGCATTACATACATGCAAACAATATATTCATACACACAAAATAAAAATAATAAGATATTTGGTAATTTTAAAAAGAAATGCAATTGGGGCTGCTAAAATGGCTCAGCAGGTAAAGGTGCTTGCAGCCAAGCCGCATGACCTGAGTTCCATCCTTGGGACCCATGAGGTGGAAACTGACAGTGGTTTTGAGCCAAATAGCCGCCTGACATAATGCTGGGAATTGAATCCTATAGGAGTTCTCTTCAAGAGCGGCACTCGCTCTAAACCCCTGGACCGTCTCTCTGTTGTTTTACATAGGGTCTCCCATAGCCCAAGCTCCAACTGGCTCTAAAGCCGAGGATGACTTTGAACTTGTGATCCTCCTGCTTCATCTTTCAAGTGCTTAGGATTCCAGGTGTGAGCCCCCACCACCGGTTTTGTGCAGTGTTGGGAATTGAACCAGGGTTTAGTGCGTTCCAGGCAAGCACTCCACCCACTGAGCCACCTGCCCAGCCCTACAGCTAGCAGTATGGTTTGCGCCACACACTTCAGAAAAAAGGTCTTCATAAGAGACCCGGATTTCCCCTCCCCTACCATGCAAATTCAACGGCTGGAAAGCTTGATTTTACAAAGGGAAAAAGTTGTTCGCCTCGTTACTCTCTTTCCATGATCACCCAGGAAAGTCCGCCCACCGTTTCCATGGAAACGCGGTTTCTCACTAGCGGGTGACCCAGGGAGGAGCTGCGCTGCTCCTCCCCTTCGTCCGCAGTACTCTCGGAGCCGGGGCGGCCCCTCCTCGGCTCTCTCCCATTCAGTTGTCTGGTCTCTGCGCCACCACATCCTGGCGCGCGGCTGTGCGCGCTCCTCGGCCACTGAGTGCTCCCTGCTGCGCTCTGCGCTCCTCCCGGAACACCGGACCATAGCGCAGCTGGGGCACTCTGCTCACAGCCGAGTTTGTCCGGCCCGGTGCAGTGGAAGCCTAAGTGACCCGAGAACAGCAGCCCCGGAGGTTGCGGGGGTCCGGGGCATCATGGAGGAGCCCCCTGTGCGAGAGGAGGAGGTGGAAGAGGACGGAGAGGAGGACGAGGCTGGCCCCGAGGGCGCCCTGGCCAAGAGTCCCCTGCAGCTAACCGCCGACGACGTGTACGACATCTCCTATGTGGTGGGCCGCGAGCTCGTGGCCCTAGGTAGCGATCCCCGCGTCACCCGGCTGCAGTTCAAGATCGTGCGTGTGCTGGAGATGCTGGAGGAACTGGTGAACGAGAGCAGCCTAGCCGCCGAGGAGCTGAGGATGGAGAGGGACAACCTCAGGAAGGAAGTGGAGGGGCTACGCAGAGCAGGGCCGCCCGGGGCTGAGGTGAGTGCGGGGTGCACGGATCACAGGTTCCTGGGCCTTGGCACTGCTGGTACCCAACCCTTAGGCTGGAAGTTTTTCCACAGGTAGCATTTATTGAACACCTACTAAGTGTCTGACCTTGCAATGTTGCATGTCAGCAATCTACTGCATCTTATTTTTTCTTTTAAAAAAGTTTTTGTTTAGTATGTGTGTGTGTATGACAACTTTGTAGAGTGAGTTCTTTCCCTCCATAATGTGGATTCTGGGGCTTGAACTCAGTTCATCAGGCTTGGCTGCAAGGGACTTTAACCTGCTGAACCCTCTCACTGGCCCTGCCCACTGCATCTTTGACCTTGACCTACAGCAGTACTTTCAAGTGTTAAGAATAAGTCATACTCACTTGCCAAGAACCTTATTAACATGGCCCAGCGCCAGAATTTCTGGACTCAGTAGATACAAACTGGGATCTAAGAAGCTGTGGCATCTTTTGCTTTTCTGTCTTTGGGACTGGAATCAGGAGCTGAACATGCTGGGCAAATGTCACACCACTGTTACATGTCCCACCCCTTGGTTTATTGATATAATGCTTTGAGATAGGGTCTCTTAGGTAGCTGAAACTGGCCTTGGCCTCCAGTTCTGCTGGATACTGAGATTACAAATGTGCACCACCACCACCTCTAGCAGGAGTCTTTTACATTTTATGGTGGGGATGAGAGGTTGAGAAAGGGGCTCTAGTAGTCCAGGCTGACCTTGAACTTACTATGTAGCCAAGGATGACTTTGAACTCTTGATCTCCCTGCCTCCTACCCCCACCCCAAATTCCAGGATCACAGATGTGCACCACCACAAAAGAATCTATGTTCCTAAGAAGCTCTCATGTGATGTCATCTACCCTAAAACAGCTGAGAGACTTTAGGCTAGAATAAGAGAAACATTTAAACTAAAGAAATGTTTGTAGCACATGCCTTTAACCCCAGCACCTTCTGGAGCTGTTCTCACCTTCTACCTTGTTGGTCATGGGGATCAAACTCGCATCCTTTGTCTTTGTAGCAAGTGCTTTTACCCACTGAGCCGTCTCACTGGACCTGTTTTTGTTTTGTTTTGTTTTAGACAAGATCTCACTCTGTAGCTGAGCCTGGCCTGGAACTCACTATGTAAACTAACTTGGCCCTGAACTCTTGGCAGTCCTCCTGCCCCAGCTTCCAGAGTGCTGAGATTACAGGTCTGAGCCACCATGCCCAGCTTAAAGTTTTTGTGTTTTGAGACAGAGTCTCTGTAGCCCCAACTGGCCTGGAACTCCCTATATATATAGACCAGGCTGACTTGGATCTCACAAAGATGTGCCTACCTTTGCCTCCTGAGTGCTGGGACTGAAAGGGGTGCACCACCACATCCAGCTAAACAAAGTTTTAAGAACAAATTTCCCACAGGACTGGAGAGTTGGCTTGGCAGTTAAGAGCACTGGCTGCTCTTGCAGAGGACCCAGGTTCGAGTCCCAGCAACCACATGGCAGCTAACGACCACCCCTCTAACGCTTTTTTTTTACCTCCTTGGGCACTGCATGACATGGGTGCTCTTACACATGTAGGCAACACTCACACACAAAGTAAAAATGATTAATAAAATTAAAGAAAAAAAAAAAAAAGCCGGGCATGGTGGCACACACCTTTACCCCAGCACTCGGGATGCAGAAGCAGGCAGATTTCTGTTTGAGGCTAGCCTGGTCTACGTAGTGACTTCCAGGCCAGCTGGGGCTACAGGGAGACCCTGTCTCAAAAATACCAAAAAAAGAACAAACTTCCCCTAATTTCCCCTACCGTATCTATGTATATGATACACAGGCACATGTCTTTCCTGTTCTGTTTTTTTTTGAGTTTTAAAATTCTTTTTATGCAGGGCTGAGGGTAGAATCCAGGGCCTCTCTGGTACTAAACCCCTGCTGTATTACTGAATTATACTCCCAGCCTCTTCTTTATTTCACCTGCTGTGTGGTTTTGTTTAAGGAAAGGTCTCACTGTAGCTCAGGCTGACTTTGAACTTATGGTGTAGCCCCGGCTAGCATGGAGCTTAAGGCAGTTCTCCTGCTTCAGTCTCTCTGAGTGTTAGAATATAGTCATGAAGCACCATGTCCAGCATGTTCCACCTACTTCAGAGTCACAGTGATGATTCCATCTGCCGGTAGACCCTGCTTTCATATTCTTCCTGGGAGAACCTGACCATCACAAAAGTGGCCTGGTCTTGGACATTCAAGAAAAGTTGAACAGCTTGATCTTGCCAGTTGCTTAGCTGCATTCAGTGCTGTTTTAGCTGTGGTCCTAGGCACAGGGAAGTAGAGGAAGCTGTATCATAGCCTGGGAACCCTGTGGTCTGCACAGGGGCCAGTGACTTCCCCCATTGGGCAGAGGGAACAAGTATTACAGGCACCAGATGACGTGGCATATTTTCTTTCTTAAATACAGTCTTAAGGTGGGGAGTGGGGGAGCCTGATGTGGTAACACATTCCTGTCATCCCAGCACTTAAGCTGAGGCAAGATGGTCAGGAGTTTGAGGCCAGCCTGGGCTACATGGCAAGACCCTGTCAAGAAGAAAAAGAAGAAGAGGAGGAGGAAGAAAAAGAAGAGAAAAGAAAAGGAAGAAAAAATGAAGGGTTAGGAAAATGCATAAAATAAGAGAATAAATGTTCAGTGTCATTAGACAATTCATTAAAATGTGTTCTTTTTTATTACTTTTTGATGATTTTAAATTATTTTGACTTGTGGTAAAATACATATAACATAGGCCAGGCATGGTGGTGCACACCTTTCATCCCAGAACTTGGGAGGCAGAGGCAGGCAGATCTCTGTGAGTTCTGAAAGGCCAGCCTGGTCTACATAGTGAGCCTGTCTCAAAAAAACAAAAACAAAACAACATGTAACATGAAACTTATTTACCATCCTCACTTCTTTTCCTTCATTAATTTTTTTTTTTTTTTGCAGTGTTGGGAATGGGCCTTAGGGCGTGGTGCATGCTAGTCAAATGCCCTGCCTGCCCTGAGCAGCTCCCCAGCCCACCCTCACCATGTTCAAATGTACCTTCCACTGGCACCAAGTTCATTCACACTTTTGTGTTTGGTTGGTTTTGTTTTGTTTTTTGGAGACAGGGTCTCCCTGTAGCCCCAGCTGTCCTGGAACTCACTATGTAGACCAGGCTGGCCTTGAACTCACAGAAATCCGCCTGCCTCTGCCTCCCAAGTGCTGAGACTAAAGGCATGCGCCACCATGCCCGGCTATTCACATTTTTAAAAAATTTTTTTTACATTTCTTTCTTACTTTTGTTTGTGTTTGCGGAGTTACATGTATGCCAGGCACAGTGTGCATGTGGAGGTTAGAGGACAACTTGTAGGAGTTCTCGCCTTCTACTATATGAGATCTGGTGATCAAACTCAGATCCTTAGGCTTGCCTAAAACTGCCTGTACCTGCTGAGCCATCTCGGTGACCCTGGTTTGTTTTGTTTTTGGAGAAGTTTTTTTCTCTGTATTCTCTAGGCTGGCCTCATACTTGTGGCCTCAAGTGGTTTTCCTGCCTTAGCCTCCTGAGTAGTTGATAGTACAGACAGGTGCTGCTGTGCCCTGTTTACTTTCTGTCTCTATGCATTTACCTACTATTGTAGGTAGTTCCTATGCCATAAAATGTTTTTATTATTATTTTTTTGTGTATGAGTGTATTGCCTGTGTGTGTGTAAGTGCATCCGAATCATGCAGTGCCCAGGGAGGTCAGAAGATGGTGTCAGATCCCCTGAAACTGAAGTGATGGACAGTTGTTAGTTGCTATGTGGGTGCTGGGAATTGAACCCGGGTCCTCTACAAAAGGAGTCAGTGCTCTTAACTGCTGAGCCATCTCTCCAGCCCATTTTTCTTTTTTAAGACATGGTCTCACGTATCCCAGGCTGGTCCTGAACCCACTCCGTAGTTAAGGCTGTCCTTGAACACCTGAATGTCTGCCTCCACTTCCCAGGTGCTGGGGTTACAGGTGTGAGCCACCACACCTGGCATTATATAATTGGAATCATAGACTTGCTTTCCTCCCTCCTTCTTCCCTCCCTTCCTCTCCCTTTCCATTCCCCTTCCTGCCCCTCTCTCTCTTTCCATTCCCCTTCCTTTTCCCTCTGTCTCTTTTTCTTTCCCTTTCTCTTTCAGAAATGTAATTTCAAAATTCAGATGGTTTGAAGGTATTTGACTTAAAAAAAAAACCTCCCTCCCCTCATCTCTACTGCCACCCCCACTACTTAATTCTCTCTGAAATTTTTGTTTTGTTGTTTGTTTTTTGAGGCAGGTACTCCCTGTAGCCCTGTTACCTGGTATAGACAAGGCTAGCCTGGATCTCACAAAGATCCACCAGCCTCTATCCCCCAAGTCCCTGGAGGATTTTTAAATGGTCCTTTCCTTGTGTCTCCTCATATAGATACTTGATAGAGACAGATACATTTCTTTTGCTGGCTCTGGAGCTACAACTCAGGAACTAGAGCATGCTGTACATTCATTTTCCCATTCTTACATCCCCAGTCCTCTTTTTCCTTTCTTACCAAATTACCCAGACTAGCTTTGAACTCAATCTTTGTCATAGACAAGCCTTGAACATAAATAAAAAATTTTTTTTGGTTTTTTTGAAACAGGGTCTCCCTGTAGCCCCAGCTAGCCTGGCACTTGCTATGTAGACCAGGTTGGCCTTAAACTCACAGAGATCCACCTGCCTCTGCCTCCAAGTGCTGGGATTAAAGGCATGCACCACCACCCTGGCATAAATGAAATTAAGAAAAAAATGTTTTATTATTATTATTTTTATCTTTTTGAAGCAGGGTCTCCCTGTAGCCCCAGTTGTCCTGGAACTCACTGTGTAGACCAGGCTTGCCTCTGCCTCCCAAGTGCTGGGACTACAGGTGTGTGCCACCACTCCTGGCTAAAAATTTATTATTTTTTTAATTTTACATTTATAAATGTATTGCTTGCATGTATGTAAGTGCACCCATGTTGTGCAATGCCCATGTAGTGCACCCATGTTGTGCAATGCCCATGTAGGTCAGAAGAAAACATTGAATTCCCTTGGAACTGAAGTTATGGATGGTTGTTAGCCACCATGTGGGTGCTGGGAATCAAATCTGGGTCCTCTTCAAGAGCAGCCAGTACTTTTAACCACTGAGCCATCTCTCCAGTACCATACATAAAAATTTAAAAGTAAATGCCAGGCATGGTGGTGCATGTCTTTAATCCCAGTACTTGGGAGGCAGAGGCAAGTGATTTATGTGAGTTCAAGGCCAGCCTGTTCTACATAGTGAGTTCCAGACCAGTTGGGGGCTGCAGGGAGACTCTATCTCAAAAACACCAAAATAAATAATAATAATAATAATAATAATAAATTAATTAAATAGAGGCAAATTTTAAATAAGGGAGTATTGATTGGGTATCTCAGGCTGACCCCAAACACATGAGCTCATGATCTTCCTGCCTTAGCTTCTCAAGTAGCTCGGACTCTAGGTGTGTGCTGGCAACTTTGGGTGTGTATGGGGATGTGTATGTGCACGTGAGGGATGTGTGCACATGTCTGCATATGCTTGTGTAGAGGCCAGTGGTCAAAATCAGGTGTCAGTTACTCTCCGAATTTTAAAAGATTTTTTTTTGAACCAGGCGTGGTGGCGCACACCTTTAATCCCAGCTCTCAGGAGGCAGAAGCAGGCGGATCTCTGTGAGTTTGAGGCCAGCCTGGTCTACATAGCGAGTTCCAGGCCAGCTGGGGCTACTGGGAGACCCTGTCTCAAAAAAACCAAAAAAAGCTGGGTGTGGTGGCACACGCCTGTAGTCCCAGCACTTGGGAGGCAGAGGTAGGCAGATCTCTGTGAGTTCAAGGCCAGCCTGGTCTACATAGTGAATTCCAGGACAGCTGGGGCTACAGGGAGACCCTGCTTCAAAAAGACAAAAAAAAAAAAGTTGTTTTGTGTGTGTATGGAGTTCTGTTAATAGATATTTAAGTTGTTTGTAAATGTTCCTTCCTTCACTCTGGTTTCCACCTCCTCCTGTTCATCCTACTTCTCTTCTTCCTCTTCCCTTTTCTCCTCCTCTTCCTCCTCCTCCTCTTCTTCTTCCTCCTCTTCCTCCTCTTCCTTCTCTGGTCTGGTAACCCAGACTGGTCTGGAGCTCACAATGCTTTTGCCTCTGGCCCACTCCTATAATTTCATTCAGGAGGTGGTGGCAGGAAAATAGGAGTTCAAGGTCATCTTCCCTTACACAAGGACTATTACCCAACTTTGGGGTATATGAGACAGAAAAAAGTACAGATTCTCTATCAATTTGTTAATTTTTGTTTGTTAGTGGTTTTTGAGACAGAGTCCCCTGTAACTCTGTAGCCCAAGCTAGCCTGGACCTTGCTATATGTAGACCAGGCCTCGATCTCACAGAGATCCTCCTGCCTCTGCTTCCTGAGTGCTAGGATTACAGGTGCTTACCACCACAACTGGCCCTATTTGTTAATTTAAATTTTTTTAGGGGGGGCCTTCTTTTTTTGAGACAGGGTTTCCCTGTAGCCCCAGCTGTCCTGGAACTCGCTATGTAGACCATGCTGGCCTTGAACTCACAGAGATCCACCTGCCTCTGCCTCCCAAGTGCTGGGATTAAAGGCATGCGCCACCACGCCCAGCCTTATTTTTTATTTTTATCTTATGTATATGAATGTTTTGTCTGATGCATATAAGTGTACCACATGTATACAGTGCCTGAAGAGGTCAGAAGAGAGCATTTGATCCTCTGGAACTGGAGTTATGTTGTTAGCTGCCATGTGGGTGCTGGGAACCAAACTCAGGACCTCTGTGAGAGCAGCAAGTGCTCTTAACCACTGAGCCAGAAGAGGGTGTCAGATCCCCTAGAACTAGAGTTATAGGTAGTTGTGAGCCACAACCGTGTGTGGTGAGAACTGAAGTTAGGTCTTCTGTAAGAGCAGCAAGTACCTTAACTGCTGAGCATTTCTCCAGCCCCTATTCATCACTATGATCTGCAAGTTCCTCTCAGTTTGGTAGTGGTAGCATCTTCAAACATTCATTTAATCCATCTCCATTCCTCAGTTAAGGAACTGTACTTGTGTGGTCATACTTTCTCTGTTCCAACCCTAGAATCAGTGACTCTCCATGGAGCCCAGTACCTTCTCTTGGAGAAGGTACTTTACCAACTGTTTCCTGAAGAACTTGTCTCAGCTCATAGGGCCCCTGAGAGCCATAAAGCGGACCCTTTCTTTGTGGGACAGACCATCTTAGCATTGTGACAGAAACTGTTGGCATGTTGTCTTTCAGGTGAACCTGGGACCAGACAAAATGGTGGTGGATCTGACAGATCCCAACCGGCCCCGCTTCACTCTGCAGGAGCTAAGGGACGTCCTGCAGGAGCGCAACAAGCTCAAGTCGCAGCTGCTGCTGGTACAGGAGGAGCTGCAGTGCTACAGGAGGTGGGTTCCCTGCAGCGGGCTGCACTGGGTCACACACTGCCTAGGATCCTCACAGGGCTACACACTTGCTTCTACATTCACTGAACACCCACTGTGTGCCAGGTGCTGGGTGCATAGCTGCAAACACTGCAGAGAAAGCAAAAGTCTTTGATTGTCTAGTGGAGAGACATGATCAAGAAGGAAGGCCAGGCTATGCATGGTGGTGCATACCTGTAATCCCAGCACTGCAGAGGTGGAGGCTAGGGGATCATCAATTCAAAGCCATCCTTGGCTACATAGTGAGTTGGTGGCCAGACTGAATGACAAGAGACCCTCTTTTCAACAAACAAATAGAAGTCCATCCAGGAATGGTCATGCATACCCCTAATCCCAGTATACTCAAGAGTAAATCAGGAGGATCATGAGTTCAAAGCCTGTCTGGGCTACATAGTGAGACCCTGACTTAAAAAAAAAAGAACATACCTTATTTATTTTTGGTGCCAGGATGGAATTCAGGGCCTAGTATGTGCTAAGTGTGAGCTCTGCCACTGAGCTAAACCCTTAGTCTTTACTTTTAAAAAAAAAAGATTTTTTTTTTTTTTATGTATGTGTGTCTGGCCCTTCCTTCCTTCCTTCCTTCCTTCCTTCCTTCCTTCCTTCCTTCCTCCCCCCCCATTCTTTCTCTTTTTTGCATGACTTTAATCACAACTCTTGGGAGGCTAAAGCAAGAAGATCTGAGTTTCAGGCCAGCCTGGGCTACATAGTGAGACCTCGTCCCAGAGTAAATATGTAATAAAATAAGCCGGGTGTGGTGGCACATGCCTTTAGTCCTAGCAGACAGAGGCAGGCCAATCTCTGTGAGTTTGAGCCAGCCTGGTCTACATAGAGAGTTCCAGGCCAGCTGGGACTATAGGGAGACCCTGTCTCAAAAAAAAGCCCAAAAAAGAGCTGGGTGTGGTGGTGCATGCCTTTAATCCCAGCACTTGGGAGGCAGGTGAATCTCTGTGAGTTCAAGGCCAGCCAGGTCTACATAGTGAGTTCCAGGACAGCTGGGGCCACAGGGAGACCCTGTCTCAGAAAGACAAAAAAATAAAAAATAAAAAATAATAAATAAATAAATAAATAAAATAAAAAAACTACCCAACCTATCACAGCTCCATCTTCAAACACCATCACACAGTGGCTTACAGCTTCAACACAGTAGGGTTTTTGTTTGTTTTGTTTTGAGATGGGCTCACTATGTAGTCCTAGCTAGCCTAAAACTTGATAATAACACAGCAGTTTTGAGAGAACCTCATTATCTGCAGTGGAAACGCCACAGGCATGCATAGTTTATCAGTAGCATCCAGACTAACATGCACTATGAGTGGTCTTGGGCCACACACTGAAATACTTCATTGTGCTCAGCCTAGTTAGGTTTAAACTGGCTGAAACACAGAAAAGCATTTGGGGCTCACATAGTCAGAAAGGAGCCTGGACTGGCTCTCAGAGTTCATACTGGGGTCTGTTTCTTATTTCTGTCCTCTGCTTGATGGCCTCCTTATCAGGGGTTGAGGAATATGTCTCAAGAAATCTGGCTTGTGAGCAAGTGAGATGGACTGGCCGTCATCTAAACTTGTCTATGTTAATTTAAGTACATTGACATGTTCTAGGACAGGATTCAATGTATTAATCAGCATCAATCCTATCACCATCTAACTTATTACATATACATGGCTTTGGTTGGTTTTTTAGTTATTTGTTTTGGTACTGGAGATTGAACCCAGGGCCTTGTGCATGCTAAGCACTCAACTCCAATGCCAGCCCCTAGATACAATTTTAAATTTTATTTTATTATTAACTTTTTGGGTTTTTTTTTTAGACAGGGTCTCTCTGTAGCCCCAACTAGCCTGAAACTCACTACCAGGCTGCCCTTGATCTCACAGATCCACCTGCCTCTGAGTGCTGGTATTAAAGGCATGTGCCACCATACCTGGCATATTTTTTCTTTTCACAATGAAACTTGTGCAAGTCAGAATCTGATACCAATTAAATGGTGACAGCTTTGCCAATAAGCAAGAATGTGCTCTTCCATGGGTAGGAAGAGAGACTGCCACAGGTCCCAAAAATAAATGGAACTTTTTTTTTTTTAATCATCTTGAGATAGGGTCTCCTTGTAGCCCCAGTTAGCCTGGAAACTGAACAGTGTGTGCTCCTAACCATTGAGCCACCTCTACAGCCCCCAATTTATTTTATTTTTTTTAATTATTTTATTTATTTATTTATTTATTTTTGTCTTTTTGAGACAGGGTCTCCCTGTAGCCCCAGCTGGCCTGGAACTCACTATGTAGACCAGGCTGGCCTTGAACTCACAGAGATCCATCTGCCTCTGCCTCCCAAGTTCTAGGATTAAAGGCATGTGCCACCATGCCTGGCTAATGGAGGCCAGAAGAGGGTGTAAGATGCCCCCTGTTGCTGGAGTTACAGGTGGTGGTGAACAGCATAATGTAGGTGCTGGAAACTGAACAGTGTGTGTTCCTAACCATTGAGCCACCTATACAGCCCCCAATTTATTTTATTTTTTTAATTATTTTAATTATTTTATTTATTTATTTATTTTTCTTTTTTTTCTTTTTTTCTTTTTTTGTCTTAGCTGTCCTGGAACTCACTATGTAGACCAGGCTAGCCTCAAACCCGGCTTTTTATTCTTTTTTTTCTTTTTTTCTTTTTTTGTCTTTTTCAGACAGGGTCTCCCTGTAGCCCCAGCTGTCCTGGAACTCACTATGTAGACCAGGCTGGCCTTGAACTCACAGAGATCCGCCTACCTCTGCCTCCTGAGTGCTGGGATTAAAGGCGTGTACCACCACGCCTGGCTTTTTAGATTTATTTGTTTTATGTATATGTGTGCACCTGAGTGAGTGTATGCATGTATGCAATCTGTGTGCAAGTGCCTGTGGAGACCAGAACACAGCTTTGGATCTCCTGAAACTGGAGTTACAGTATGTTGTGAATTGCCTAATATATGTGCTAGGAACTGAACCCAGGTTGTTTGCTAGAACAGTAAGTTCTAGCAGTAAGCTCTTAACTACTGACCCATCTCTCCAGCCCCTATGTTTTAATTATTATCATTGTGTGTGTGTGTGTGTGTGTGTGTGTGTGTATAAGCACACATATGTGATATGTGTTGGGTGCACAGAAGTGCCACAGTATGTGGCATATGAGGTCAGAAGACAACTTAGTGGAGTCAGTTCTCTCTTTTCATCTTTACATGGATTCAGGGATTGAACTCAGGTCACCAGGCAAGCATATTACCTGCTGAGCCGTCTTGCCAATCCACAGTTTCTTCATTTTTTATTTTTTATTTTTTTGGTTTTTTTGAAGCAGGGTCTCCCTGTACCCCAGCTGTCCTGGAACTCACTATGTAGACCAGGCTGGCCTTGAACTCACAGAGATCTGCCTGCCTCTGGTTCCCAAGTGCTGAGACCACAGGGGTGTGCCACCACGCTCAGCTTATTTTTTCAGAGGGGGGCCTTGATATCTGTCCATGCTGGTCTTGAACATAGGCTCAGGTAATCCTTCTGCCTCAGCTACTCAAATAACTGGAACTAAGGCACATATTACCACACCTGACAAGATGCAATTTTTTTTTCTCAAAGGGTTGTTTATCATTTTTTTTGTTTTTTGGTGGTGATGCTAAGGATTGAACCCAGAACTTTGTCTGTGTTGCTAGGCAAGTGCTATATCACTAAGCTACACGCCCAGCCCTAAAAAAAATGTGGCGGGGGGGGGGCTGGAGAGATGGTTCAGTGGTTTAGAACAGTGGTTGTTCTTGCAGAAGACCTGGGTTCAAGTCCCAGCACCCACATGGCAGCTAACAACTGTCTGTGACTCCAGTCCCAGGGGATCCGAGAGCCTTTTCTGACCTCTGCGGGCATTATACGACATGGGTGCACTTACCTACATTCAGGCAATACATGCATACACATAAAATTAAAATAATAAAAAAACACTCATAAACACAAAATAAAAATAAAAATTTCAGTTTCAATTTGATTGTTTCTCATAATCAGAAACATAATGGATTCCTTGTATGTACTGATCTGGTGTCCAAAAAAACCTTACTAAATTCATACATTAATTAT